TTTTAGACTCCCTATCATTGTGACCTGCTTCTCCAGGACTCTATTCTCCTCCTTACTGGACTGTCCACAGAATGCAGGGTGCAGAATGTGGCTTTCACCTGGCCAGGAGCAAAGACTAGGGTAGTGCGACCTTTCTCCTTGTTCGTGCATTCCTTCCTTCAGTGGTATTTCCTTAGTGAGTGCCTGATGTGTATTATTTGGCAGATCTTACAGTCCAGGGGCAGAGATGGTCCTTCCCCATGGTCTCTTTCCTCAACCCTTAGCTGGTTAATCCCTCTACTCTGATACCTCACATCCTTCTTCCTACCTGCTGCCCATCAGGTCTTCTCTACATCTCCAGGAAGTAGAGAGGAAGGAAACCTCCTGAACCTGGTTCAGCTTGTGACATCCAGTGCACTACTTGCAATAGAAAAGCCTCTCTCCTCTTCACACATTGCCCTGTAACCCAGCATCCTGTCCCCTAGAAAGAAGGTCCTACCCCTGCCTGCCTCCTCCACTTGCTCACTGGCATTCCTGATTCAGGTATCAGTTTCAGCCAAGAAAATGTCAGGAACAAAGCCAAGTCTCCCCCCACTGAGACTCCACTCTGCCATACTGAGCCATCTTCAAAGAGAGGCTGGTCTCTCTTCCTTATCTCTTCCTTAACAGTGCCCATGTCAGCCAGGCAGTAATGGTGTATGCCATTAATCCCAGCACTCAAGAGGCAGAGGCAGGCAGATCTTTGTGAGTTCAAGGCCAGCCTGGTCTACGAAGAGAAACCCTATCTCAAAAAAGTAAAAAAAAAAAAAGTATGTTGATGGAGGGGATCATTGCCTTCTGAGCATCATGGCCACCCTTAGGTCTCATGGTGCCCAAAAGAAAGGATCAAGAAATGTTTCTGGGGGTGGCTGGAGATCTGACTTAGAGGTTAAGTGCATTGGCTGTTCTTCCAGAGAACCTAATTTCAATTTCCAGCATCCACATGGCAGCTTACAACTGTCTGTAACTCCATTCTGGGGGATCTGGCTCCCTCACAGGGACATACCTGTAGGCAGAACACCAATGTACATAAAATAATAATAAATAAATTTTTAAAAAAGCCGGGCGTTGGTGGTACACGCCTTTAATCCTAGCACTCGGGAGACAGAGACAGGCAGATCTCTGTGAGTTCGAGACCAGCTTGGTCTACAGAGCTAGTTCCAGGACAGCCTCCAAAACAACATCGGGGGGGAGAAAAAAAAGAAAGAAAAGAAATGTTTTTGGCTGAGTGGTGGTGGAGCACATATTTAATCCCAGCACTGGGGAAGCAGAGGCAGTTGGATCTCTTAAATTCAGGGCCAGCCTGGTCTACAGAGTAAGTTTAGGACAGCTAGAGCTACACAGAGAAACCCCTGTCTTGAAAACAAAACAAAACAAAATAGAAGAGGATGAGGAAGAGAAGGGGAGGAGGAGGAGGAGGAGGAGGAGGAGGAGGTGGTGGTGGTGGTGGTGGTGGTGGTGTTTCTGGCACAAGCATGACTAGTAATTCAAATGTAAGCCCAGTTCTTAGAATCCCAGGGGTACTGACAACAGACTGCAGAAAAGATTCAAGGGCCAGATTTCTGTGCCCAGCACTGCTTCTGTGAGCAACAAACAGATAAGCTCCCACTCCCAGTGACTTTGCTCCTGGGCAGGTGACAGGCACACATTCCTGATCCACAAATTCTTCTGTGCAAAGACTGCTCAAGGTGTTTCCTCCTAGAACAGCAAAGCCATCCTGAAAAAAGCAGCACATTCCTGGAGTAGATAAGACCTGGGAGGGGAAGGGGGGAGGGAAGTGCTGGCCTGGATGTAAAATAAATAATATATATATAGGAACTTTGTCTCTCTGGCTGTTAGGTCACAGTCCCAGCAGCTAGCTGCACAGCAGGGTGGGTGTGGGGTTAACACACACACACCCACCACACACACACACACACACACACACACACACACACACACAGCTTGTGTGTATTTAAAGTTACTTGTACTTAAATAAACCCTGAAACTAAACAATAAAAGGAAGCTAAGGTTCTAATCAAGAATGGCTAGAGCGATGGTTCAGTGGTTAGGAGTGTTTGTGGCTGGCATGCTGGGGAGATAGCCAAGTGGTTAGAGCACTGGCTGCTCTTCGAGAGGACCCTGGTTCAATTCCCAGCACCCACATGGTAGCTCACAACTGTCTGTAACTCCAGTTCTAGGGGATACCAATGCATATAAAATAAAGTTAAATAATTTTTTTAAGTGCTTGTGGCTTTTCTAGAAGACCTGACTCTGGTTCTCAGCACCCAGGGCTCACAGCTGCCATAACTCCAATGCCCAGGCTCCTGTACTCACATGCACATACGTACACACTGACATAACTAAAAAGAAATGTCTTTTAAAACCCTCTGACATGCCGGGCGGTGGTGGCACACACCTTTAATCCCAGCACTCTGGAGGCAGAGGCAGGCAGATCTCTGTGAGTTCGAGGCCAACCTGGTCTACAGAGCGAGTTCCAGGACAGCCTCCAAAGTCACAGAAGAAACCCTGTCTCGAAAAACCAAAACCAAACAAACGGAAAAAAACCCCAAAAACAAAAAACCCTCTGACAGAAAGCTGGAGCCAGTTCTGAGGTGAGACAGGGTATGTAGTTTTGTCCTGTATGTAGCCTGGGTTAGGGAGCCTTTTCCTAAAATTCCAGAGAATTGCTGGCAGGGTCTGCTTGGAGCTTCTGGGAAGCAGAGTCTGCCTCAGGAGCTGATGGGGAAGAAATGCAAAGAGAGGTAACTTCTGGAACTAGCAGTTGTGATGACTGAGCATGTTTTCAGAATACCAAACACTGGTTTATATATTTGTAATGGGCTGATTTTATGGTATTTTAATTATATCACAATATAATGACAAATCAACAGCATTTGTGGTCTTTGAAAACTTCAAGGCACCACCCGTGGTTTCCTGGGGTGAGGCTCAGCCCAGTGCTCTCTCTCCTGAAGTCATTTGCTTTTGGCCGAGAGCAGCAGGCACTGGCCTCTACCTTCTCTCCTCCTGAGGTGGCCCGTCCTCCCTGTGTGTTCCTGTGTGTTCCTGAAGTCATTTGCTTTTGGCGGAGAGCAGCAGGCACAGGTCTCTCTCCTCTCCTCCTGAGATGGCCCGTCCTCCCTGTGTGTTCCTGGTGGAGCGTCTTCTGCCTCTGCAGTGGATAGCCACTAACCCCAGACCTTGTCTCTACTCCCTCCTGTCCAGATGTCTGAAGCGGGCTCACTCTGCCTCCCTCAGCCCCCACCCCCATCCCACTTCTCTCCTTCCCTCTCTCCCCACCCCTGCCTGCCACCCCCTCCCTCCCTCAGGTTATTAGAAGTCACGGGAACCTTTTGGTGCTTTTCGTTCCCCAGCCACTGGTGAGGGACCTGAGTGCCCCCTTGCAACATTGCTACTTCCCACTCTGGCCTCAGTTTCCCAGCTGGTAGTGGAGGCAGCTTTCCTTCTCCCCAAGAGATGCATAAGAAACAGTTACAGCCCTAGCATATATATGGGAAAGAATATACATAAGCTCCAGAAGCTAATGTACAAGCTACCGAGTCTCATGTGCCTTTTGTTATTTTTAGAAAGGGTCTCTGAATAGCTCTGACTGTCTTGAAACTCTCCATGTAGACCAGAGTTCTACCTGATGCTTCTCCAGGGCTGGGGGATAAGGCACGCACTGGGTTTCTTCCTTCTTTTAAAAGAAGCAGTGGGACCTTTGGTGTCACACAAACTTACAAGTTATATTTGTATTTTCCTAAGATGACTCCTTTGGGATCAAAGCCCCCGCAGGTACAAAAGGAAGTAACAAGTCCAACCTCTTATGGTGCTATGGGGTGAAATTTAATAAAGGTAGCTAAATACGGCCTGTAGTGCCCAGTGTGGAGCAGGGCGCTCTATTATTGTTATTACAGTTACCTAGGAACCCCTCTCTGTCTTCAGGAATATAACCCTAACCCCTATCTCTAACCCTGCTCCTAGCCCTGCTTTGCACAATTCAAAGGAAAAGCTCGTACTCAAACAGTATCCTTCATAAGGTCCCTTCTCTAGAGTAAATAACACTGACTCTCAAGCTGATCCACTTGCCACTTTGGAGACCCTCTGATTCAAGGAAGTAGAAATTTAGAAAAATACCCCAAAGCAAAACTGAACAATCTAAAATAGAAAGAAAAAATAAAGACGAGCCAGAAGGGCCCTGTCAGAAACAGATTGGAGGCCCAGCTCCACTCCAGCAGAGGAGTTTGGCACTCTGCCTGGCACACGGCTGGAGCCCAGCAAGTGCTAACTTCCTTCTCTTCCTGTCCCCCTTCAGCTACATCCCTGAACAGAGTATGAACATGGCCTTGGTGTGATCTCTTTACCAGTCAAATGGTTTCCCGAGAGTGCCCAGCAGGAAGAGAGGAGACAGGCTCTTACAGTGGCCTCTACAGCACCGCTGGCTGATGTGACCTCTCTGACCCTCTCAAGTGAAGCCCACTCTCCCTGCCCCCAACCTATCCTCCATGTCCCAGAGTAGAGGTGCCTGTCACTGCTCTGGCCATTTGGTAGCTTGTTAAACCTCAGCACCACTTGCCAAGACCCCTTTAAACCCCTTGGCTGTTCTTTTTTGCCTTTTCTGAGCAGCAGTATTTATTCAGAACTAAATGGTCCTCAGTAGAGGATGAAAGGACTTACTGCTTAAGTATATGAAAAGAAGTCTTGGCTGCGTTACAATCGCACCCTCTCTCTGCCTCCACCCCACTCTGCCCATGCTCCATTGACTGGTGCCACTGAGACTGACCTGGGAGCCTGCCCTTGGAGCAGGGTGCTCAGTTCGGTTCAGCTGATGGAGAAGTGAGGTGACCATAGGAGGAGCTTGCTTTAGGACCCTTTTCCCCAATATGCTACAGCCTCAAAGGAGACTGGAGGCCTAGAAACAACTTGTGTATAATCTTTTTCCCTCCTCGAAGGCACACACACGTGAAATTCTCTGTCTCTGATTCTCTCCCTCATCACCTCAGGATCGTGCTCATGGATGATGCCATGGACTGCTTGATGTCTTTTTCAGACTTCCTTTTTGCCTTCCAGATCCAGTTTTATTATTCAGGTGAGAATGTTCTAGGCCCCATGTGGCTTTTGTCAGGGACCATGTCTCCCTTTCTCTCCTCTTGTCTTTTCCATCTGTGGGCCTGGCACACACATCGCCCCCCCCCACTTCCTTTATAGTATACTTCATTACAACCCACTGACAAGATGTCTGATTTGCACTGGTGGTCACAATATTCAATCTGCAGAGCCTGCTTCCTCAGCCTCATAAAGACACTGAAGTTTTTTTTCTTCCATTCAGCAGCACACACACACAAAAAAACCTTTAAGTGACAGCAGCAGTAAGGATATCAATAGCATTCATTTATTAAAAACATACCGCCTCCCAGGTACGGCACAGAGGATTTTAATCTGTTCACTGGTCCTAAGAGATAAGCTGCAAGAGCTCAGACCTGTGCTCTTAGCCACTCCCTTAGCCCTTGTCCATGTGTGTTTACCATACTCACAGCTTTTAATAAGCATAGACCAAACCAGGAACAATGGTGCATGACTGTAGCCCAAGCTACTAAAGAGACGGAGGCCCAAGGATCACTTCAGTCTAGGAGAGCAAGGCTACCATGGCAACATAATGAGACCTCTATCTCTAAAAGACCAAGAATCTCTTCTCTTTCTCTCTCTCTCTCTCTCTCTCTCTCTCTCTCTCTCTCACACACACACACACACACACACACACACACACACACACACACACACACAGGCTCTGTCTCACTTCCACTCTGCTCCCCTTAAGCCCCTTCTGACTTTAAATGGAATAAAAATAGATAAATATAAATGTATACAACTCATACACCAAATTAGTATAGGATTTAGAAATTGCTGTATACAGGGCTAGAGAGATGGCTCAGTGGTTAGGGACACTAACTGCCCTTCCAAAGAATCCGGGTTCAATTCCCAGTACCCACATGACAGCTTACAACTGTCTGTAACTTCAGTTCTAAGGGACTGACACTCCCACACAGACATACATGCAGGCAAAACATCAAAGCACATTAAAAAAAGAAAAAGAAAAAGAAATTGCTGCATCCATAAAGAAACTTTCTTAATGGGTGCTGTTCCAGTAAACAGAAAGCTGCCTTTGGAACTGGAAATAGCCTTCTCGCCAACCAATGCCCTGGTCAGCTTTGGCCTCACTTAGGAGTCACACTGTTTACTTGATTGCAGCCCAAGAGCTATTCAGGCAGAAGCTGGAACCTGGGGTCAAGCCACCTGCTCCTACCAGGGTTAGCATCTTATGACTCACTTCTTTGAAACTCTTGAACTTTAGGAAGAAGCAGCCATGTTTTGGAGAATTCTCTTCTCTAACACACACACTGGAGGAGGAGGAGGTGGGGAGAGAGGGTAAGTGGGACAGAGACAACAAGCCATAAGTCACTGTTTACCAACAATGGTGAGACTAAAAGCTGGGAAAACAACTTCAAATGAGTACTAGATTAGCAGTTTACAGAGTCCTCTCTTCCTCAACGGTATTTATTTTTCCTTTTTTTCAAGGTATTTTGAGTACACTAAAAAGTTTGGGCAGTAACAAAGATACTTCCTGCAGTCTCCAACACACTTTCATGAAGCAGATAGCTCGTGAAATGGAGCGCGCGCGCGTACACACGCGCACACACACACACACACACACACACACACACACACACACACACAAACACACACACACACCCAGCCGGATGGTGGTGCACACCTTTAATCCTAACACTCAGGAGGCAGAGGCAGAGGCAGGTGGATCTCTGAGTTCAAGGCCAGCCTGGTCTACACAGAGAAATCCTATCTCAAAAAAACAAAATAACGGGCGTTAGTGGCACACACCTTTAATGTCAGCCAGCACTCGGGAGGCAGAGGCAGGCGGATCTCTGTGAGTTCAAGACCAGCCTGGTCTACCAAGCGAGTTCCAGGACAGCCTCCAAAACAATACAGAGAAACCCTGTCTCAAAAAGAAAAAAAAAAAAAAACACAAGAAAGAAAGACCAAAATAAATAAATAAAAACATACTTAGAGCATTTACTATGTACCAGGCACTAGGACAGGAGATGTCAGTAGGGTATGATCCCTGCCTTTGTTCAAGGTTCTTCCATCTCAGCAAAGAGACAGATAATTACATAGCAAACTTACCATTGGGTAAATGATTCAAAAAAGATAGGGCGCTCTGCAGGTGTGCAGTGGGGACCCCATCTAGTCTAGGAACTGCCCCAGGTGGAGCACATAGGAGCGCTATGTCTCATGAGGGCAGCAGACAGTCTCTCTGGGTATTTTGGCATCGAGGCTGAGTTGCTGAGAAGGGGGATGTGGTAAAGAGATAAAATATGGCCTCCTTACCTAAACTGTCCCTTCCTACCCCTATGGTTCCAGAATTTCTGGACAGTGTGGCTGCAATCTATCAGGACTTGCTGTCAGGGAAGAACCCCAATACAGTGATTGTGCCAACATCATCCAGTGGGCAGCATCGCCAGCGACCTGCCTTGGGTGATGCCGGTATGCTGGATGGAGTAGAGGCATCACTGTTCTATCAGCGCCTGGAAAACCTGTGTGACCGCCACAAGTACAGGTGGGACATGGGCAGAGGCCCCACCTCAGTTCTGGAGACCGGGCTGCTGGTCTGGGAACAATCCTCAAGCAACATATTTTGATTGGTTCAGGATTTATTTCCAGGGCCTAGGATGGTCGTGATTTGAAGACAGCCCTCTGCCCCCAAAGCAGGTGCTCACTTACAAAGGAGCACTGTCACTCACAAAAAACTAGTTACATGTGACTTGCTTCCTAGGGAAAGATGAGCCTTGGCTTCTTGAAAAGGAAACACTGTTCCAAACCTTCCCATGGAAAGGAGAGGTTAAACTTAGGGATATAGCCTACTGGCAAGGAGCTGTCACTAGTAGCTATGTCCTCTTCCCCTCTCTTCTGGATTCCCTGTAGAAGCACTGGTTATTGGGCAGGGATGCGGAGAGTGCATACCTAGCATGTTCCATCTCTAACCCCACCAACTGAGTACACCAGCCCATGCTGTCTGCAGTCTGAGCCCTGTTCCCGCCATGCATGGTCTCCCAGCTTGGAGTGTCCTGGAGGTGTGGGTGAAAGCATGGCACTTAGGCTTTAATCTGGTCTCTGCACTTCCCTTCCAGCTGCCCACCTCCAGCTCTTGTCAGAGAGATCCTGAGCAATGTCCAGAGGCTGACTTTCTATGGGTTCCTTGTGGCCCTCTCAAAGCATCATGGAATCAACCAAGCACTGGGTAAGCAGAGCTCACGTGACCTCTGTGCTCCTCCCAACCTAGGTAGCAGCTGGCCTCCAACTGCAGAAATGGCCTACAGGGGTAGGAGAGCACTCTCTGATTCTCGGGCCACCTTCTGCCCTGCCCCAACATGAATGAGCTGCTGCTGCTGCTCTACTCCCTGGATAGGCCTGCCCAGCCCCTCCCTAGAGAATCCTGGGCTCTGTTCTAGGGAGTGGCCTGTAGGTTGGGCAGATGCAGGGCTATTTACCCAGTGGCTTTGGAGATTATATATCAAAGTGACCTGAATCCCATTTAGAAACAGGGCAAAGGTGTGTCTGGGACGTGTTTTTTCTCAGGTGGGAAAACAAGAAATCTGATAAATCTGAAAAGAGAGAGGGGGGGGAGGGAGGGAGAGAGGGGGGAGGGAGGGAGAGAGAGGTGGAGACTGGTCCAGTTTTACTGCCTATCGTGTTGTTGTTCTTTAATTCTCACTGGCTGGCCTCCACCCGCTGCACTCCAACCCCTGTGCACAGCCACTCCTCTCCGCCAGCAGGCTACTCTCGCTGGAGGTTTGTTGTTTTGGTTGTGTTGAGACAGGGTTTCATTATATAGTTCTGTGTACCTTGAAATGTACTAAGTAGACCAGGCTGACCTTGAACTGCCTGCCTCTGCTTCCCAAGGCTGGGACTAAGTATGTGTCATAAAGCCCATATCCTGCTGGAGTTTAAAGGATTTACTGAGTCCATCTTTGCTCGGAAGGATGCCCTGTGTGAGTAGATCGTGGTTCCTGAGAAAGACACAAGGCATTCCTCCTCCCTGTAGCAGTTGAGGGAATAGGATCAAGAGAAAGACAATTAACATTTGCTAAATGCCCAACTCAGTGGGGCAGGAGCTGTGCTGGAACCATTATGCTTATTTCTGTACACACACCTGCCAGAGTTCTGGGGGAGACAGGTGAGCTCAGAATGCTTGCTATCCAGAAGCCTAGTTACTGAGTCAGGGCCCTGTTCAGCTAAGTGAGATTCATAACCAGGGTTGCCAGCTGGACTGGAGCTACAAAAAAGGCCAACTGGGAACCAAAGTCAAGAGCCAGTGGGGACTCTACAGTCCAAGGAACTGGTCACTTTTCTACCTGTGACAGCTGCTAGGGGAAAAGAAAAAGCTAGTTAGCAACGATCGCAGCCTGCACTAATCTAATCTCCTCTCTACTCTCCAAAAAGAAGCTTCAAAGCCGACAGTGGTGGCGCATGCCCAGTGCTGGGGAGGCAGAGGCAGGCTGATCTATGTGAGTTCGAGGCCAGCCGGGTCTACAGTGTTTCAGGACAGCCAAGGCTACAGAGATAAACCCTGTCTTAAAAAACAAAAAACAAAGGCGGATCTCTGTGAGTTCGAGGCCAGCCTGGTCTACAGAGCGAGTTCCAGGACAGCCTCCAAAACAATACAGAGAAACCCTGTCTCGAAAAAACAAAAAAAAAACCAAAAAAAAAACAAAAAACAAAGCAAAAACAACAACAAAACAAAACCAGACAAACAACAAAAAAGGACCTCCAGTTCACTCTCAAATTCTAAGGGACAAAAAGAACCCTCACACACTTTTTCCTAAGTGCTAATTAATGACTCGTGCAGAATAAGCAGCAATAGAAGGCAGAACTTGGAAATGCCCTGCTTGAAGTTTGTGGAAGAGATCTCTTTGTCCCCAACACACCCCACAGAATGATGAGGCATAACCTGCAGATGTAGTAGAGTCAGGAACAGGCCCAGTGCAAGACACTAGGACACTTTCAGTCTCCAAAGCCCAGCACCACTGACTGTCCAGCCCTGTTCCTGCAATAGTTTATGGTGAGAATCTCCCTCTGCAAATCTCAGTCTCACCTGGAGGTCTGTTTTTTTTTTGGGGGGGGTCCCCAACTAGGAAAAAAACCTGATTCTGAAAAAGAGCAAAAAGAAGAAAGTTTACGTGGGGGAGCACCCAATAGCAATTTTTCTTTCTGTTGCTTCTCAAGACGGAGCTTCTCTGTGAACAGTCTTGGCTGTCCTGGAACTCACTCTGTAGACCAGGCTGGCCTAGAACCCACAGAGATCTGCTTGCCTCTGCCTCCCAAGTACTGGGATTAAAGGCATGAGCCACGCAGAAGCAGCAATTTTAACACGTTTCTACATACCCCACATATGAAGGGATGGGATCAAGGAAGGGCAATTACATACATACACTGGCTATTTTCTTTTTTGGTTTTTGGAGACAGGGTTTCTATGTATTGTTTTGGAGGCTGTCCTGGAACTCATTCTGTAGACCAGGCTGGCCTCGAACTCACAAAGATCCACCTGCCCCTGCCTCCCGAGTGCTGGGATTAAAGGCGTGCACCACCATCGCCCAGCTACACTGGCTATTTTCTACCCTTGGATTTAGCCCTAGGCCATTTCTCCAGCCCGGCGCCTGGAGCCTCGAGAACTAAATACCCAGTGCTGGTCACAAAGCACATCCTATCTGGGAAGGGGCTCGATACCTGTCTGGGCTTAGCTGTCAGTCCAGCCCCAAGGAAGGAAGGGAACGTGGTGGGACTCACTAGATGTATAAAGTAGCACTTACTGTTCCACAGGGACTAACTTACCCTGGTCAACAAGCTGACAGACATGAAAGCCAAGACAGAGTATCTGCTCCCTTGAAGGACGCTTATGCTGTTTTATAACTGCCCCAAATCCCTTATCTTCTAGGAGCTTTGCCTGACAAAGGAGACTTGATGCATGACCCAGCCATGGATGAGGAGCTGGAACGGCTGTAAGTGTCAAATGGGAAGATGCTGCCCTCTTGTGGAAGCCAAATCTGTTAGAGGTGACTGCGCCCCATTGTAGTGACACAGCACTTATTTTTAACACCCCATATCGGTCAGAGAAGCTTGTGCCCAGCAGAGAACAAAGGTACCATAAGTCCTTGGGGGTCTGCTAAGTGCAAGAGTTAAGTGTGGAGGGCCTCATCTCTGAACAAGAGACTTATCACATCACCCTCTGGGCTTCTTTCCTTCTTCAGGCTGGTCCAGGTCCCAGGCCTGGTCAACTCCATCACTGCCACTTCTGAGGCCAGCTGCCTGCCCTCCCGAACCCCTCACCGGGTTGGTTCCCCATGGAAACCCCTCCATCGCTCCCGCAAATTGGATGCAGAGAGCGATGGCTCCACTGAAGAGACAGATGAGTCTGAGACTTGAATCTGAAGGGTCCCATCTGTACCTTGCTCCTACCCACCCTGCTTTTGCTGCCCTCACCAGACTTCTCCAGCATCACTGTGCCACCCTCTGCTGGAGAGATGGGTGAATAACAGTCCTCCAGCCAATTCAGTGATCCCAGCAATCCCTTAACTCATGCTCTCAGCTTTTGACAACCTGTTGGGCCCTAAGCTGAATACTGTACCAAGGGCACTTCATCTCTGGGAAGGGTACTGGCTTTAGCCTTTTGTTGGCAGTGCTGCTTATGCTTTAAGTGCAGTGTCTTCTCAGTCAGTCAGCCATGATCCTCCTAGTGAAGGTCATTTTCCACAACAGCTCCCATAGAGGAACATGAATTAGTAACACAGGGTCTTCATGGTCAAGGGTAACCCCGAGAGCACATGATGGGAAGACTACCAACTGTGGCCTTCTGCTGGAGAATCAGCCACTGGCTGGAATAAGAGGGAGGATGGGCAAGAATTTCACTTTCAAAATTGGCTTCAAGTTTGTAATAGTCAAGTCTGTGAAATGAATAAAGTCCCTTGTCTGTGGTAAGCAGTGAGTCTAAAACCAGTAGGCTACGGGGAGGGGAAGGGCAAGTGTGACTCGGATGCTTTTCTGACTGCATGGGATGTGGGGCTAGGGTACCATTCCAGCATGGAGACCTGCCTCAACTGCTGCAGATGAGGGCAGCCATTCAGAGGTGTGCACACCGGAAATGGCCTTCAGCAACATCCCAGGGTGTTCAGTCAGGACCTCATCACCTGTGAGACCCTGGCCACAGAACTAGAGCTGCACAGCTACTGCACCAGGGTTTCATTAACCATTTGTAAGACCTGCTGCCAGGTCAGGGCATCAGAGATACGCACAAAGCAAGCCTAAGGTTTTGGAGCAGAGGCTGGAACAGTGCAGAGGTGATTTACATCTTTCTTGAATGAGGTAGATCCTCCGCTGCCTGCCCCAAGTAAGGCCAATGTCACCACTTACTGGACACATAATTTCTCTCCATCCTTCCCCATCAAGACCTGCCAGTGGATGATTACAAGTGGTTTCCAAAAAGCCCTGTGGTGCCAAGCCTACCTACAGGCACCTGAGTGAGCCCCTGAAAGGTTTCTCAAACTCTGGTGTGTACCAGAACCCTTGGGGATAGTGCCAATTACTAAGCTTGAGTCCTACTGGGGTTGGAAACTGAAATCTGTATTTCACAAACACCCCAGATGATACCAAAGCACTGGAAATCACTGGTTTAGAATTCTATGACTCCCTTTACCTGTCCTTTTTGCCCTCCAATTCCCAGAGTGGTTTATAACTGTACAGTGTTGAGGAGTCCCAAGGATAAAGTGGCCCTATAAGGAAAGCGGTTTACATACAGCATCTAACTCTTCCAAAGTCTGAATCTTTAAAATGCTTTTTCAGGCCAGGCATTTTAGTGCATGCCTGTCATTCCAGTGCCAGGGCCAAGACAGGAGGATTACAAGTACAAGGCCAGTCTGGCTATGGACACACTGTCTAAAACAAAACAAAAACAGCTCCATTGAGAAACAGGTCCCAGTCTGCCTCCTGCGATGAGGTGCAGAACCGCTGAGGACGCAGACAAACGACAGGGCCAACTAACACCACCTCTTTCCTCCACGTGCAACAGGGTGGTGAGGTCGAGGCTGTACCGGACCCCGCGGCAGCACAGGGGCAAGGAGCCAGGGGCCTTTGGCTTTCAGAGAAGAGACAAGCTGGAGGCCCTGGAGAGAGTGCCCTCAGCTTTGGCACCAACGCCTAATCCATATCGGTGGGAGCCCAGAGAGTGAGCGGAGGGCCACTGGGCAGGGAGGCAGGATGGAGAGGACACTGACCCACAGGGCCCCGTGGGGGCTTTATTTCGACACCACTTTGTTTCAATACAAACAGTGCTGAAAGAAAGTCATGTCCCTCTGGGGAGGGATGAGGGAAGAGTGGTCTGTGTTGTTTGGGAGCCCAACCTGCAATCCACAGGTAGGGTTGGGCCCAGACTGCCAGCATGGCAGGAGGAGATGGCACCAAGGATGACACAGTGCATGGCCCAGCTGCCAGAGGATGGGGCCTGCAGCTGCAAGTCCTCAAGCTCTCACTGACTGGTGGGGTGCTGTCCAGGACCCCTAAACCCAGAGTGATGCAAAGGATGAAAGCTGAGCTCCAGGGGCTTCTTTCTTTCAGAGCCTCAGCTTCCTCAGCCAGTAGCAGGTTCACAGCATCCAGGTAGGACCACAGATGATACCCCACCATGGGTGCCAAGCAGGACACAAAAGGATAAGATCTCAAGCATAGACAGGGTGCTATGACCCACAACAGTGGTAGATAAGGGCTCCTGGACACCGAGGCAGAAGTCAGCCTCCAAGGGACAGTGGTGAAAAAGAAGGTTGCTCAGGCCTCCAGGCTGATCCCAAACAAACCCAAGCAAAAGTTCTAGCCCTTAGTGAATTACCAGGGTCTTTCTCCTAACCCATCCTCCCCTGGAATCCATAAGAGGCCACTGACAGTAAGCTGTGGCAAGTCCAGTACTTCTCCCTGAGGGCTGATACAGCACAACTCTTGCTAGGCCTCCCGTGTTTCTAGAAGATGAGGAGGCCCAGACCTCCAGACCACCTACATGGATCTTAAAGCCTGCAGAAGACTCATGCCTTCCCTACTTGGGGAAGAGCTAGACCCATAAAGCCATCCTGATGGAACTCCTCCCCCACTCCCAGTGCAACAGGCTAAGTAGCAGCAGCTTTGGGACAGGACAGGAAGGAAGAACACTGGCATGGAGAGGAGAGTGTGAGGGGTGAGGACAAGGACTCATGTGCAAGCAAAGGACAAGGGCTGATGCTGACCATTCCCCTCGCCAAGATCCTCCAAAGCCACCCAACTCACACCACATACAGAAGTCAACAAATGCCCAGTTCCACAAGGCAGACATCCCTGGCCTGGGAACCAGGGTTCTTGCTGTCACCACAGGCCTGAGCCATGGAGCCTGGATCAGTAGGAACCGTAGCGATCCTAAGTGGGGAGAATGAAAACACAAAGTCAGAGTCTCTAATCGGTAGCAGCTCCCCAGTAATCACAACACCTTCCCTGCATACCCCACAGAAGGATAGGGCAAGCTGCTGCACAGGGCTGGGGACCCATGTTGAGAGTATGTGATAGAAGCTGAAGTGGAAGCCACCTAGGTACTAATGAAAAGGAAGTCTTGTCAGATCGCACAGAACCTGGGAGGGAAGAGGAAGAGTAGCAGAAGTAACAAGCTAGGCCAAGTCACCTTAGGGAGACGCTCAGCCCAAATGTAGGGATGGAAAGCTGCCCTGCCAGGAAAAACAAGCACTCTCTACAGCTGCTGGTGGCTACTCAGCAGTGTCTGGATGCAGTAGAAGGCAAACCTCCAAGCATTACCTTTTTACATTTCTTCCCAGGCCCAGCAGCCCAGCCTCACCTGTAAAGAATTCATCACACCATTGGCCAGCACTGCCATCTTGCCGGCCACAGACTTGACACCCTGCTTAAACTGGGCAATGTCAGCTGTAGGAAGTACATTCCCCAGAGACACAGTTCCTGTAAAAGCAAGGGAAGCAGTGATCAAGAGCCCCGCAAGAGCCCTTCCCAGCTACAGGGCCTTCAGCTATGCTCACAAGCCTCACTTGGTGCCCTACCTCCTCCATGAGCTCCATCCATGTCCCCAAAGAGGTCTGAAGAGCTGATGGCACTGCTGCCCGAGAGCTGCTGTAACCGGGACCTGGCTTCATACTGTGGAGAAAAGGCAAGGTGTAGGGAATCTTTTAGCCAATGGTAAAGAACCGATTTATGCCAAACCGCCCTATACTAAACCCAAGGACAGGCAGGGAAGAAGCGAAGAAGCTCAGGCTGTGGCCTGCTGCTATCAAGCAAATAACTTCACTAACCTCAGAATCCACCTCGCGACCAAAGAACATGTCAGATGAGATGGCTTTGGCTCCTGCAAACTTCTCACGAGCTTCACTGGACTCAGGACCTGAGCTCCGGCTCTCCACTTCCCTCCGACTGGTGGTTCTGTGGGCCAATGCAGAACATCTCTGTCCCTTCCCATTATCACCAAGGGAAACAGAGTTCAGAGACCAAAAAAGCACCCATAGCTTTCTGGCCATGGAAACCATGTCTATCCTGTGACATGGAGAACTTTTCTCCTAGTGAGTACCCTCCAAAAGATTAGCAAGAGATCCTCTCCATTTTCTTTACCAAAGCCAAGGCAAGAGCCTCAGTTCCCTCCACTAGATGGAGTGGGAATATGGTCTGGAGGGCTTAGGCTCCACACTACTGTGGCTCAGTAAGGTACAGAAGATCCCATCATCACTGCTGCCATCCTAGTCCTATTGGGAATCTGAAGTGACAGTCTGTGTGCCTGGCTTACATCCTCTCTTCTGCCAGGATTATTCAGTGCTGTGATCACTCTCTTAGAATCATGCTAATGTGGATAAAAGGGTCATGCCACTCCACTGACAATGCACAGGCTCTAGGCTGGGGGTTTTACAACCCAGTGAAGTTATTACTACTGATGTCCTATTTTACAAATGGATTATCTCTAGTAACTTGCCAACAAAACATTGTTTCTGAACAATGGGATAAGTTGGTTTGTTTTTGCTTTTGTAATAAGGGCCTAGAGAGATGGCTCAGTGGTTGAGAGCACTGTCTGCTCTTCCAGAGGACTCAGGTTCAATTCCCAGCATCCACATGGCAGTTCAAATCTGTCTGTAACTCCAGTTCCAAGGCTTCTGACACTCTCACACAGATGTACATGGAGTCAAACACCAATGAAAATAAAATAAAAACAAATTTTAAAAAATAGGGCCCAGCAGGTGGAAAACATGGGTTTGATCCGTAATAATGCAATCAATCAAACCATGAAGGCTAGAGGCTACCTTTGGAAGGGACATCAGAACTGAAACAGAAAATCAGGCCCTTCTACCGTTAAGTAGATCCCAAACTAAAAGAACTCCCAGGCTGGTTGTGCTAAGCACAGTCCTGTCTAATGGATGATCACTAGCTATATGTTGGTTATTTATACTTGCTAAACTTACATTAAAAAAACACAAGAAATTCAGTTTCTCAGCTGCACTCAACTAATCATTTCCATCCCTGCACCAAGTTCTGCAGACAGCACTGCCCTGCCCACACTACCTTTCTGAAATAGGCCGGATGCTGGAGATGGTTACTTCAGGTTCCTTCTCTTCTACCCGGTCCATACCCCAGGCTGCATCTGAATCCCAGCGGGAACCAAAAGTTTCTCCCAAGGAAAAGGGGTTGTCCTTGTACCTAGGAAGATAGCAGAGTAGCTCGGAGAAACCTGAGTTGGAACACAACAGGCAAGTCTATGCCCTAGAAACAGCCTTACTTTGGGGGTCCAGAGGCGAAAGTTCCAACATCATCAAACAAGTCAAGCTGTGAACGGGAAGACTTTGCACTCAGCGGGGTTTCCTGCTCAATCACCTGCATCTCAGACAGCACAGAGTGGGAAATGGAGCTGTAGAGAAAGCACAGCAGGCCAGAGGCAGTAATGAGCATCAGTGTTCACTGGTCAAGAGCAGCAGCCAGGCTGATGGGTCTGTTCCCCAAACAGTCTAGCCCCTTGTCTGTACAACTGCACTGGTCCAGTCCAGGTACTCTGAACCTGTGTGTAATGACCTGGGAACATACTCAGAAATGTTAACATACTGGCTTTGTTCTTGCAAACAGCTTTATCCTAGACAATGGCTATGCACACCAAATGATGAGTGTTCACTCTCCATTCTTTCCTTTTTGGTTTTGGTTTGTTTTTTCTAAGGAGACTGGTTATGTGACCCAGATGTACCTCCTTCAACCTTTCCAGGGATGGAATTACAGGAATAAGCCACCATGCCCAACTTCATCTCTATCCTTACACAAAGCCTTATAAGCACAAAGCAGAAGATGAAAAACACCCAGATGATCCTCATGGAATCACAGCAAGTCCTTAATCACTCTGTCTCTTAGAAAAGAAAAGGGATGAAGAGGAAGAAAAAGGAGAAAGGAGGAAGGGAATTTCCTAGGGTCTGGGCCAGGCACCAAGAACAGGCAGAACAGCCCAATGCCTCACTCCTGTCAATGGTGGGGGGGAGGAGAGAGAAACAGGCTAGAGTAAAGGCTCAGAGGTTAAGGGCACTGGCTTCTTTCCCAGGAGACTCATGTTTATTCCTATCATCCACATGGCAGCTCACACAGAGTCCCAGGTAATCCAATGCTCTCTTGTGATCATGTGGTACACAGACATACATGCATAAAAAACAAACACAATAAAGTAAAAAAGAAAACACGTCCAGGTGTGGTGACATGTGACTGTAATCTCAACACTAAAGAAGGCAGTAAGAGCAGGTGTTCAAGGTTATCCTTGGCTATGTAGCTACCTTAAGGCCAGCCTGACTCCAACAAGTTGTTCTCTGATCTTCACATGTGTGCAATAGTACATGCAGGTCCCATATTAAAGTTAGTAAAAATGCAATTGTAAAAGATTTTGTCACCAGGTGGTGGCACACGCCTTTAATCCCAGCACTCGGAAGGCAGAGGCAGGTGGATCTCTGTGAGTTCGAGACCAGCCTGGTCTACAGAGCGAGTTCCGGGACAGCTCCAAAGCCACAGAAAACAGATTTTGTCAGTGCTGGTAAGATTACTCAGGGTAAAAGCTACAAGTCCGATGGCCTGAGTTTAAGCCCTGGAGCCCATACAGTGAAAGGGGACGACGCACACAAGTTCACAAGTTGTCCCAGACTTCCACCACGCACACTGAAGCATGCACGTACCCACACATAGAACAAAAGTAAATATAGTAATTTTTCAAAAAACCTTACACACTCATGTTTTGAAAACACCATCAAAGTGATAGGGTGGCACACGGGAAGTAGAGGCAGGAGGATCAGGGCTTCAGGTGCCTTCTCAGCTACGTAACAAATTGGAAGCCAGCTCAGGACACATGAAACAAACAAACAAGAGAGCCTAGTGGTAAAAAATACTGAATTTAGCAGGATGGTAGCTCAGTCTTTAATCCCAGCATTCAGGAGGCAGAGGCAGAGCATATACATCACTAATGAGTTCAAATCCAGCCTGGTCTACCAGGTGAGTTCCAGGACAGTCAAGTCTACATAGAAAAACCTTGTGCCAAAACAAACAAACAAACTACAATTGAATTTCGAATCAAAAAGGCAATACATTTGTCAGCTTCTGGGTTTGCAGCTTTGAGGAAGCTGCTTAGTATCTCAATCTCATCTGTACATTAGTACCAAGACCTCCTGCCTATGACTATCATGTCTAATAAATTTCTCATGACAATAAATCCATGCCTCCTAACAAGAGAAACCAAGGCATGGTCTACTCAATGGCACCAGCAAATACTCTTTATTATTATTCTTTTCTTTTTTCTCTTTTGAAACAGTCTCCCAGAGACCAATCTGACTTTGAATTCCTATGTAGCCAAGGATCACCCTGAATTCCTGATCCTACTGCTTCCATCTCCTGAGTTCTAGGATTGCTGGTGTATGTCATCATGCCTGGAGATACATTTAGCCCCAACTAGCCTTAAACTTGCTATACAGGCAAGAATGGCCTTGAACCTCTGGCCTTCCTGCCTCAAGTGCTGAGATTATAGATTTATACCAATGCACCAGTTTTATGTAGTGCTGAGTTTTGAACACAGGGCTTTATGCATGCAAGACAAGCACGCTACCAACTGAGCTACATCCCCAGTCCCCAGATATTCTAATTTTTAAAAGACACTAATCTAGAGCTGGAGAAATGGCTCAGAGGTTAAGCATACTGGCTGCTCTTTCAGAGGTCCTGAGTTCAATTCCCAGCAACACGATGGCTCAAAACCATCTGTAAAAAAACCCAAAACAAAAAACAAAAAAAGTAGGGCGGTGGTGGCGCACGCCTTTAGTCCCAGCACTTGGGAGGCAGAGGCAGGTGGATCTCTGTGAGTTTGAGTTTGAGACCAGCCTGGTCTACAAGCTAGTTCCAGGACAGCCTCCAAAGCCACATAGAGAAACCCTGTCTCAAAAAAACAAACAAACAAACAAACAAAAAATCTGTAATGAGATCTGGTACCCTTTTCTGGCCTGCAGGCATACGGCAGAACACTATATACACAATAAATAAACTTAAATAAAAGAAAAAGATAAAAATCTAGCTGGGCAGTGGTGTGTCATGCCTTAAATCCCAGCATTCGGGAGGCAGAGTAGGTGAATCTCTGAGTTCAAAGCCAGTCTGATCTATAGAGCGAGTCGCTGGACAGCCAAGGCCACACAGAGAAACCCAATCTGGAAGAACCAATAAACAAACAAACAATCTTTAATTCCAGCAATTGGGAGGTAGACCGAAAGGGATTTCTGTGAGTTTGAGGTCAGCCAGGACTACACATAAGGCCACCTCAAAACAACAACAACAACAAAAAAATAAGAGCACTATTACTGAAACCTCTGAATAATAACTTTAAGTGCTTCAGAGGGCTGCTCTGCTTTGCAGGAAAACAAACCCAGTAGTTCTGAAACATTTAATCCCAGTACTCGGAAGCAGAGGAAGGCAGACCTCCAAGAGTTTGAGGTCAGCCTGATCTACAGAGTGAGTTCCGGGACAACCAGCGCTACACAGAGAAACCATGTCTTGAAAAACAAAACCATGACTTCCCCAACCCAGAGGCATTTGAAATGTGTGGGGCCACTTGAGTTATTAGAGTATCTGGTACTACAAATGACATCTAGTGGGCAAGGACTAAGGAAGCAAAAAGCCCTGAAGTTCTCAGGTGGTCTTGGAAAAAAAAGAACTGTCCAGTCATGAAGCAGCCTCATCAGGAAGTGCTATCCTAGCATGGAGTGAAACAGCACCTGTTCCTTCCTGTTCACACAAACAACTAACACATGTATGGGATAGTCAACCACTGTGCTAGTTGCCTTAAGATAACAAGGAAGACTAAGCAAGGAACACTGACTTGCTAGGTAGGGCCTGTCCTGGCTCCCAGGGACAGAATGGCATTTCTCTGACATACCAGGGCCCAAACCTCACCTTCGGGACACCAAGCCCATGCCCAGCCTTTCAGCCTGCTCTCGTTTCTTTCCTTCAAGGTTCTGTAATTTTTTTTCTTCCTTCTTGCGATCAATCTGGAGCTCCTGGTAGGCCAGACGCATGGAGGCAACCCTAGAGGGAATGAATATTCACAGCTACCATCCATGCCCCCTGCTCGCAACCCCCACACAAGCCAGGGTACCAAGTAATTACGCACATGGACTCTTCTGCCTGTTTCTTGGCATCAGCTGCCTGCTGCTCCCGGAGCTTCTCTGCCACCTGGGCCTGCCGCTCAATCTCAGTAAAGCTCTGGTTACTCACCTTCTGAGCTCCCAGGCCTTTCTTGGCACCCAGCTGAAGAGAAAACCATGTGGTGTGGGGTTTTACCAGCCATCTCCTCTGCTCCCTCCCCAGTATGGTCACTGTGGTCACACCCACAGTGAAGGGGTTCTCCTTAGAGTCCAATGGTTCTGGTAGAGCTGGTTAGGAGGAGCTCCACACAACCCCCACACAGGTCTCAGGAATGAGGACAGCAGTTAATGCTGACTGGGGCCTGCTAGGTGCCAAGCACTCTAAGTACTAGATGTGCTTCATCTTGCTTACTGCCCAGCAGTCCCTTTAAGAGGAGTATCTTTAAGTCCCTTTAATAAACAAGGTTAAGATAAGTTAGTATCTTTGCCAATCTATAGCCAGCCAGTACACAGGAAAAGCTGAAGGAGTCCAACACCAGCTCTCAACCACCCTACAGTACTGCCTCTCCCCACCTACCCCTTTCTTAGCTGCTGCTGGCTTCTTCTTGCCAATAATGGAGCTTTTCAGTTCTGTGTGAGGAAGAGGGTGGGCATGAGCTAGGACAAAGGAAGGTCAGAGAACATGGCTCAGTCTACACCATGCAGCTTCACAGCAAGAACATCTAAAAAGAATTGCTTCAGACGGGAAGGCAAAACTGCCAACACCAGTTCCAACCAAGACTGTTCAAGCCAAAGACAGACAAGGTTAGGGGAGCTTCCTGATGCCCCAAAAGTAGCATTAAGAGCCTAGAACTGAAGCACCAAAGAGTACCCAAACCAAAGTGAAAACTGTTAATAGGGGAGCTGCTGAACAGCCTTAGCTCCTAGAGCAGGGAGCAGCAAGCAGGGGACAGACTCCCAAGCCACTGGTTACCTCTGGCAGAAGAGGCCCCTTTAGCTGACAGATACATGGACTCTGGAGGAGAAAAGACTTGTGGCTAACAAGGGTCCACCCAGGAGCTTCATAAAGCTCCACAACCCAGAGGCCTGCAGAGTCTATTTCAAAGCTGTGCCAAGCCTTCTCAGAGACTCAGCTGGACAGTCACTCCACTGGCTTCCTGCCCCAACCCCCAAGAGTCAACAGAACAAACCAAGGTCAGCAGAGGGACTGTTTACCCTAACCAAGTCTGAAGGCCACTCAAGAGTAGGAAAGGGCTGAACTTTGACAGGACAGTATTGCTTCTAGCCATGAGCAGTTCAAAGCTATCACCACACCTCGTGAAATGAAAACAGGTCAGTCCCACCTAACACCAGGGACAGGTATGCAGTTCCAATCCAGCCTCCAATACTTTGGCTAGATCCAACCACACACTCAAAATGACAGCCATTCAGGTCTGTCAGCTCAAAGGTCCTAAAGTCGGTCAGAACTTCAATTCTAGTTCCTACCCAAGAGGGGTCAATGTGCTCACTTCACATGACTAGGCAGTAGAGATTTAGAACACATACTTGAGGCCCACTCTCTCCCAGCCTCCCCACCCTTGCCAGCTGTCATACCCAGAGAAGCTTGGGGTGAGGTTCCAAGGAGGTCAGTGTTAGGGCCATGTTCAGGTTCTGTGAATGCAATGACAGGAGTTACATACATTAAGGAGGTAGTAAGAGTCACTGGCTTTCCTCCGCTTCCCACCAAAACATATATGTCCATCCCTTCCTCCGAGGACTAAAGTGAATCCCATTCCACCCAAGGACACAGGGAAACCTTTTCCCAACTCCTGTGTCCTTGGCTAAGTGTCCTAAACACTTGGTTGAGATCTGGGCTAAACTCACGTGCTGGGATACTGCTCTCTGAAGATAAGGCTGGTTGCTGGGTCCCTGAAGTCTCAGTGTCTGCTGTATCCCAGACAGGGGCCTAAAAAGGAAGCCAGATCCCAGAAGGCTCAGTGAGCCCTCCTAAGAAGCTATACCTACCTGTAGGTAGGAGGCATAGCTTCCAGCTATGAGAGAACACTGGAGATCAGCAATTACAATCAACAGTACTCAAGGAAAATAGCATCTTCAACTGATAGCCAAGCCATTCCTTTAATTGATAAAGCATTAACAACTCTTACATACTAACCATAACCAGGCACAAATCCGAGGGCTATAACAGATTCAGTCAGTCACAGTAGGCTCTATGAAGTAGCTATGTCTCCATTTTAGAAACTGAGGTTTTGCTGGGTTAAGTGACTTGGCCACATCAAAGGAATACCAGCAAACAGAGATGCTGAGATGTGACCTGAGACTCTGACTTCAATGCCCATTGCCAACAGAGTAGAAGGCTTTCTTAAGATGGGTCACGGGAGCCAGGAGATGGTGGCGTATGCCTTTAGTCCCAGCACTCAGGAGGCAGAGGCAGGCAGATCTCTGTGAGTTGGAGAACAGCCTGGTCTACAAGAGCTAGTTCCAGGACAGCCTCCAAAGCTACAGAGAAACCCTGTCTCAAAAAACAAAAAACAAAAAACAAAAAAAAAAGAAAGATGGGTCACGGGAGAAGGAATCCTCATTGTCTTTCCCACTCCTGCTCAGTTTTGGAAAATCTGGATGTTTTAGGGTCCCTGAGACTTCCTGAGATTTCAAACTGCTCTCTACCTCTAGGATCCATGTCTAAAGAGGATTCCATTATACTCCCATAAGTAGGAGGAAGAGACTTCTAGTCTACCCAGAAGGCAGTAATTAGCAATTCTGAACCACAGACATTATCTGAGATATCATACCTAAGCAAAGAATTTACATCACCCTCACAAAAGGTATAGCCTTGGCAAGTAAAGCATTTATCAAAGAAAATGACCCTGTGGAACTCACCTGAGTATGTTCTGTGAAGAAATCAGAGTCTTTCTTCTCTGGAGAGTGACTAGGAGCATTGCTCATATTGTCTATCCAAAGCTGGAAGGAAGGAGACACTGTGAAACTCAGGGCTGTTAACACCTCCTGCCCATCACTCCTAAGCCAGGAACAAGTACTTACATCAGTGCCATGCCTAGCTAGAGCTGCACTCCCTAACTGCCGGATCTTCTCTCGGTACATCTGGGCAGCTCGGCTATTATACTTCGTGTTAGCATCATTGGCCATACATCCATGTTGGCGAAAAAAAGCAGTCTAGAGAGAAAAAAAGAATGTAGCATATATGTACAAGTACTCTCAACAAAGAAAATGGTACTCACATTACAGGTGACACCTTAATAAACAGTTGGGTTATTGTTTATACAGGATATACATTACTGACACCAACAAGTTTTCATAGAAGTAAAGGTCTTCCAAAATTCCTTAAAAAAATAAAATAAATAAAACAAGTTGGGTAGTGGTGACACACGCCTTTAATCCCAGCACTTGGGAGGCAGAGGCAGGCGGATCTCTGTGAGTTCAAAACCAGCCTGGTCTACAAGAGTTAGTTCCAGGACAGCCTCCAAAGAGAAACCCTGTCTTGGAAAAAACAAACAAACAAACAATCCACTTTAATTTTCATTATTATGTGTGCACCACAGCATGTGTATGGAGGTCAAAGGACAACTCTGTGGAGTAGATAGCCTTGCACTTTATGTGAGTTTCCTGAATTGAACTCAGGTCCAGACTCACTCATACAATTCATCTCGCCCTCCCTCCTCCAAAAGAACACCATGCCACCTCCCACATGTGCTCTGAAACAAGGAAATGAGGTTTAGGAGACTGAAGAAAGTATGCAACCCACGATAGCTGTCCTTCCTCCAGGAGTCCACAAAACCCCAGTGACTGTGCAGTCTCCACTCACTGGCTTTCCAGTTCAGATCAGTTTGTATTTAAGCCTCTTTGAAAGAAGCTGTATATACAGCTGGGAGGTGGTGGCGGTAGTGGCGGTGGTGGTGCACGCCTTTAGTCCCAGCACTGGGGAGGCAGAGACAGGCAGATCTCCGTGAGTTGGAGGCCAGCCTGGTCTACAGCATGAGTTCCAAGACATCCAGGGCTGCTACACAGAGAAACCCTGTCTCAAAAAAACAAAAAGAGAGGGAAGGGGGAGAGAGAGAGAGAGAGAGAGAGAGAGAGAGAGAGAGAGAGAGAGACACAGAGAGAGAGAGAGAGAGAGAGAGAGAGAGACAGAGAGACAGAGAGAGACAGAGAGAGAGAGAGAGAGAGAGAGAGAGAGAGAGAGAGAGAGAGAGAGAGAAGCTGTGTGTGGTGGTGTTAGAGAGCTGAGAACTCTCTGAACAGAGAACACACTCCAGAAATCACAGAAAAGTTAAGTACCCAGGCAAAAGAATGGGGGTTGGGAAAGACAAAAGAAGCTTTACCGCATTAGCATTCCCGCCGACCTGCATACACCTCAGCTGCAACCAGCTCCAGTTCGAATCCAACTCTGTGGACCTGAGCACAAGGGCTGTGTGTCACCTACCATCGACACCAAAACAAGCTTCCCTGTCAAGTCTACACCTGTCATTTGGCCTCAGGCTTCTGTGGGTGTCCAGGAAACCATCAGTCACTGTCCCATCGCCTCCTCTCTTCGCTGTTTGAAATCTTTGCTCTTCACCTAACCCAAAGAGTACCAATTATTTCTAAGGAGATTCGAAAGGAGGTCGACCTCTCGGAAATGCAGGCACTCTTTTCTAAAGGTGGTCAGAATCGCACTGGAGACCTACTGAGTCAATCTATCTGCAATAACAAGGGCAATGCATCTAACTTCTCCCCTAAACTGATGCTGAGTCTCAGGCTAACCGTGAGAAGAGGGGGTGTTTGGTCCAGACTTTATGGCTACAAGCCCACAGAGGCGGTTCGCCCCCCGCAATAGGCTAACAGAACTCCCGCCAGGAAGTATCCAAACACCGAATTCAAGTGGCGGCGTCCTTTCCCCCTTGCTGACCACACAGCCCCTGTGGAAGCGCAGCACTCACACAGAACCTACCTCACAAAGCTGAGATGGACACCCAGGGAGCGATGCACTCCGGAGCAATCAATACACAAAAACACACCGTACGTGATGCTGGCCCAACTCGGACTCTTGGCGCCACAATCGAAACATGCCTAAGTGGAAAAGGCGACAAGTGAATGATTAGGGCCCAGAGTCCAGGCCCAGCGCTTGAAACCACAAGAAGACCTCCCAACTTCGCCCCCGCCCTCCCTCCGGCCCCAGGGGACAAGAGACGTCTTCTCCGCCGACGCCAGGACCCATGTCCCTCCCGCTCAAGCACCTTGTTGGTGGGAACTGAACGAAGCCTCTTAAAAAGAGTCTGGATTTCGGTCTTGCTCGGCTCCGCCGCCATTTTCTCTCCTTCCCAGACACAACCGCGACCGACAGGTCGCGCCGCGGGCCAATCCGCGTCGGAGAAGGCGGGCTAACCGCGCCGGTCACGGCAGAGCTCTGCCCCGCCCACGAGTGGAGTGATTCGACCAGATCTGGACCAATGAGCGTAGGGTAGGACTGAAACATGACGTCAGCGGCCAGGAGCTCCACAATGGGCCTGAGAGTGAACGCCGCGCCTCCCCTGGCCAATCCGCAGCCGGAGCGGACGACGGCTTGTGGGCTGGCCCAAACTTCCTCGGGAGTTCCTGCTGGACGCGGAGGTCGGCAAATCGCAGAGCGCCGGGCTCCCGATGACGGGCAGAAGGCCACGGCCACAGCCTCTGATGAGTTGCGGATGGATGAGTAATGATTAACATTCACCCTAGTACTCCGAGTCCCATCGGGAAGACACTGGCAGGGCTCCAGCCCAGCTCCCAATTCAGCAACCTGTCTGGAGCAGAGGCCCGCAACACAACATACGCGATCTCAAGTTCCTTCCAGTCCAGATTACAGTCCTGAGATTTCAGGGCATACACCAGGAGACAACTGCCTGCGCAGTCCCAGCTCCACAACACACGCTGGGCCCATAAGCCTCCTCCATGACTTCCACCAGCTTCAAGAATGGGGTGTCAAAAAATGCTCACAACACTTGATGGGTTTTTATTCTTGGTAAAGTTTAATACACACTACAAGTCACAAAAGAGGGTGCTGCTAGCCCCAAACTACATTCTCACCAACCTCACCCCAGGAACTCCCAAACAGTTTAGGAACCTGATACCCTACTCCTGGGATGACCCAAATGCGGAAGGGGGAGGGGAGGCTCAGTCACCTCTGTCACTCCAACCTCCCTTCCTGCCCTTAACCTAAACTCTGTTGGCCTCTTTCTAGACACAGACCCCTCCCTTCATGGGTCTTAAGACATCTTCCCTCCTCCGGAAACAGGGGCAGCAGCAGCATATGGTTCAGGGCCCTCGGGTCCAGCAGTCCAGGCAGGCTTGAGCTTTGGCCCAGGACAGAGAGGAGGTGCAATAGGGCTGTCAGGACACTCAGGCACCCACACATTCTACATAATTGGCAGGGTACAGACCAACGCGGCCACTCTGCAGCTGGCCCTGGCACCAGCCCTGCTCATCCTCCTCACTCATCTTCAGCAGCTCTTCCCCTGAAGGAAGATAGATTGGTCACTGCCAGAGGCACTGGCTTCACTGCTCTCAAAACTAGGTCAAGGACTGAGGGAGATGGGATAGCATAAGGGTCAGGATAGGACACAGCCAGCAAGCTACCCAGCCCTAGACCCCAGAAAAGCAACCGTCAGGTCCCAGCTGGCAGGACCCGAACAACCCTGGAGAAGGAAGTCTTTAGCATTCCTTTTCTACGTCCCTGCTCTAGCAGGTAGGACAGGAGCTGAAATTGAAAGAAACGTGAAAGCCCCACACACACACATACACACACGTACCTGCTCGGAAGCTCAGCTCATCAGCTTCCTGGCCAGCATAGTCATAAAGCGCCCGCACCCTCACCCCAGTGGCAGCCTTCCGGGGACTCTCCTCATCTGACCAGTCCTCATCCTGACCACTGCTAGAGAGGGAGACACAAGGGGACAACTCAACTCAGGGGACAAGACTGATCACACAGAGCTCCAGCCAAAAGCTTTGCCACTAGGAGGAAAGCTAAAGACACAGAAGAGAGGGAGCTAAATGGACACTCACACCACACATATGCCCCCCATGACTGCAAATGCAGGTGCAGCTCTGTGCACGGGGCTGTTATACAGCCAAAACATAAGGGAACGTGATGACTAATGGCAGATCTGCGAGACGGTCGTATTAGCTCTCCCAAGATGGCCCTCAGGTACTGGTGTGAAGGGAGAGAAGTAAGAGGGGACCAAGCAAGTGACAGAGCTGTTTTTGTTTCGGCCAGGATCCCGGCTCTCACCCTGGAGATGCTGGACATGCTGGGGACTGGGGTGGGAGCGCGGTGCCATCTCGTGTAGGTACAATGCTGGTCAGAGTAACCTCATCAGGGCTCCGGCCACCCTTCTCCTTCCGGCTGATTGCTCTCTGTGTATCTAAGGACCACTCCTGTGGAGAGAGTTTCGTGAGTCAGGCTTGACTGTATCCAAGGTGGCAACAGGGCCATTTGGACCACCTTCACTTCCTTATCTCAAGCCATCATCTTCTCGGGGCCTACACTAATCCTACCCACCTCCAAGTCCCGCCCAGCCTGTAACACCTGCCTCAAACTGTGGCCAGTTCATGGCCATGCCAGGCCCGTGTGTGCTACGCCACCAGCGCAGGTCTTCCTCGTCACTAGCAGCCTCAATGCCCTGCTGCAGGTCTCGATGGAGTTCATGGAACCTATGAGGCATGCAATCAGACAGGGACGTTCAAGCCCCTGGAATTCCATTCAGCCCGGCCAGAACCCAAAGGAGGTCAAGGGAAGCCTCCATCCAGTGTGCAGTGGGCCATACTTGTCACTGCTGGAGAGGTCAAGGTGTTGATGCAAAGTGAGCAACATATCCTTGAAGAAGAGAAGTCGCTGGCGCTCAGCAGCCTGGCAACTCTCAAAGGCCTGCTCCATGTCCTCCATGTAACGTGGAGTGTAGCGATTTAGCTCTGCCAGGCTCTGCTCATATTGGGCTTTCATCTGGGTGAGAGAGAAGGGAGGCAGTGAGGACAGACTGCCTTCCACTCAGGAATGCACCAGTCTTCACTGAGCACAGCCACAGGCTCGACTTGGAGCAAGCCACCGGGAGCAGTCAGGCCTGAAACTCGCTTCCTACCCTCAGGAACTGACAGAAGCAGCCTAACAAGGGAAGTAACATTCAAGTAGACACCTATAGGAATCTCAAGACTGAGAGAATTCAAAGTAGGCTTCTTGGAGGAGGTGTTACAGACATGACACCTCTTAGAGGGGATAGGATGCTAGAGGGAAGGACACTCAGGGCAGGGGACAGAATATGCAATATGAGAACTGATCCCAAGCAACTAAGGCTTCAACTGCCTGAAACCCCACCATTACTCTCCTGAGTAAAAAAAGAACAAACAAACAAAAATCGCATTCCTCTCCTGGACGCCCTTCCAGACCCACAGACTTCTCTGTGCATACACAAGTGTGTGGTGTGTGTACATGCCTGTGTGTGCATGCGTGCATGTGTGTGTGTGTGTGTGTGTGTGTGTGTGTGTGTGTGTGTGTGTGTGAGGTCAAATGTCATCATAGTATGCCTTCCTCAGCCCTCACAGCCATGAGACAAGCTGGCCATTGAGGTCCAGGGATCCAGCTATCACATCCATTACCAACACACACACCCTTCCATTGTGTCCCCTCTACTCACTCCAGCTGCCTTGCCTGGCGCTTTACCTCCACAACAAGCACTTCACCGGCTAAGCCACCTCCCCAGGCCCGAGTGCCTCTTTTAAGTTTGTCTGTTTGTTTGTTGAGACAGGGTCTCACTACAGTAGCCTTGGTTGGCCTGAAACTACATGTAGTTAAAGTATGAGCCTCTATATAGGCCAGGCTGGCCTCAAACAAAGAAATCCACCTGCCTCTGCTTCCTGAGGGCTGGTATTAAGTGGTGCACCCTGACACCCAGCCCAAGTTCCTGTTTTAAATAACCATGTCAAGAAAGAGCAGGAAGAGCCTAGGGTCTGGAAAGGCATTCTGGAAGCTCTGCCACGAGGCTGTACCTTCTCTGCCTCCTTGGTGCATCGCCCCACCCGCTCCTGCAATTTTCGAAGCTGCTCCTGGGACATGGAGCTGTCGGCCTTCGCGTGGCTCTCCCGGGTCTGGGCTGTCTTCTCATCCTTGCGTGCTGTGTGGTAGCTCTTTTTAGAAGCCTCAACCTAATACACACGAAAACATGTCTGGATCCTAGATGCCACACCCTGGTCCCAGGCAGACCAGAAGGCGCCTGCCGCCAATAGCCACTGCCCTCACTCTCACCTCCTTCAGCCTCTTTAGCCAGGGCTTCTGGGCCTTGCGGAAACCATCCTCCGCAGCCCGGCTTTCCCGGAAACCACCCAGCACTGGCCGGTGGAAAGCCCCTCGCTGCCAGGTCCGCACACGCTCGCTGTCTGGACCGTGCAACTTCTCCCTCACCTCCAAGTGCAGCTCACTCAGCCGCTCAGCCGCAGTGAAGAAGGCATGCCAGGCCTTCTCCAGAGTGCCATACTGTGGGCCTGCAGAGGGATGAGCTTGGGCCAGGCGGGGTGCGATCTTAAATATAAATACCCCCTCTCCCTGTGTCCTGCTCTGGGGGCCAGACAGAGGCATGGTAGGAGTGGGGGGTCCAAAGTTGAACAGCAGCAATGTTAGGTGCTGCATTAGGAATGCCTACTCTGTGCCCTGACATGAGTGATCTCATGAATCCTTGCCTCCACTACTACCATGGGAACAGTGTCATTGCCAACCCGGAACAGGCAAAACAAAATAACAAAACAAAAAACTAAAGTCTAGAGAAGTCAAGTTAACTTGTCCAAAACATCATATCCACAAATGCAGCCAAGAGTAAACACCCAGGTCTGCCACACAAACTGCGTGCCTGGGATCTTTCTACCCAGTCGGAAGCCCACACTCCACATTTAGCTCTTTCTAGCTGTGTGGCTTCAGCCAAGTCCCTTCTCTGATTTTCATTTCTGCTCTAGAAAACAAGTGGAGGAGTAAGAAAACAGATTCCTCTTGTCATGTATGCTTGAGGTCCTACATCCCTAACACACAAAACCTCAAGAAGCAGAAGCCACCCTGAGGGTCCCACCCTTACAGCCTGTGCTGTTTGCTAGGCCTGCATTCTGGCTCACCCTTCTCCACAGCACCCCTCCACTTGCGGGCCCAGTCAGCCAGCTGCTGGGCGTAGGCTTTCTCGATGCGGGCTCGTTCTTGGAAGCAGCTAACCAGGTCCCCACACAGCCTGTGCCCATCTTCAACCCGCTGCACCGTCCGTCTGTAGTTACCAGCCTGGGACATGTGGGAGGGATAGCTTTATCGGGGAGAAGGCTCCTCTCCAGCTGGGCTGATGGTTAGGCTCCTCCACTGGATAGGTGGCTGAGCCCAGAGTGAGGGGGACAGTTTACTGCCACTCCAAAGCCAGTCCCCAACTGCTTACCTCCCAGAAACTGCCCCCTAAGACCTCCCCTCCAGCGCCGTCTTCTGGAGCCATGGTGTCCCTGCAGCACGGAATGGTGGCAGATGTGGAGCTGGGGAGGGCAAGTAAGCAAGCAGAGTAGTGAGACTCGTCTGGGGCTGGAAAAGGCTTCCCACAGTCCAAAGCGATGTCCCGCACCACTCCCACCACCCAAGGGACTGTCAGCAAGGACTGAGCAACAGACGGTCTCCAGGAGGAGGCAGGACAGGGGCAAAGACAGCTCCCAAGCTCCCCTGCTCCCTCTGGCTTTATCCTTCCCAGTTCACCCTCTACATACCTGGGGTCTCCAGATCACTTCAAGGACCTGTGTCCAAGTCTCCAGGCTGTCACTATGACTCTGCCTTGAAGTTAACAAGAGCACAGAAAGGGGTAAGGGTTGGGAGCCTCCAGTGTTCAGGGCGGTGCCCAGCTCCCCCAATATAGCAACTGCCGTCAGAAGTGGCAGATTCCAGGCTGAGAATGCCAGGCAGGTCACACGATCCAGCAGGGGATTAGGTGACAGACAGGAGTAGGTGGTGGGCAGAAAGCCCCACACTCCTACTGTAGATGAAGAGGACTCCCGCGCCTTGAATGACAAGGCAACCCCATGAACGAAGCAGCCCAACTGAGTAGGCACCCAGCTCATAACCCCAGCAACTACCTGTGCTGACTGAGTGGAAAGAGAGCCCGCGGCCTGGGCGCTATCATGACCAGGAAGTTTTTGGACAACTATGCTGGACTGTCCTGAGGGAGCCTCAGCTCACTCTGAGGTGGAAATTCCCCCACCTGGTCATCGTCCATGCTATGACTGATGTAAAACTCAAAGTAGGCAATGAACCAGAAACATTTGAAAGAGCCATCAGCCAAAAGGAGACACTTACCTGCCCCCTACCACCACCACACAACATCCAGGAAAGTCTCAAAGGGTCCTAATACAACAAACAATTCTGTCTGCCCTCAAGAAAGCTCAGGGTGGGGCTTCATGAACAGCCAGCAAGTCACACAGCCAGTTAGAAGAACTGGGGAGGAGGACAAGGTGAATTTTTACCCCAATGTCTCTCTCTCTCTCTCTCTCTCTCTCCCTCAGTGACTAGATGACATAGTGACATGCATCCTGCTGACTCTAGGCAAGGTCTCAGTTCTCCCTAGTACCAAGTGACTCTTAGTCCATAGAAGGAAATTGCTTTCTTCTCTGAGATAGCCTACAGCCTAAGGGACAGTGGGTCAAGAAGACAAGAGTAGATTCCACCCACCACAGCAGGGCTCTGTCATAGTGCACTCTCTAAACCGGTAAACCTCTACTCCCTCTCAAAACTCAGATGGGGACATCATCACTCCTCCATCCTCAGGGCTCCCATGACCCCTGTGATCCCAGCCCCCCCATACACTCCATAGGTTGTGACTGGACCTGTCCCTGTCCGCAGTCATGGAGGGACTTCTGCAGTTCTAGTTTGTGTTACCCCAGGCACTGGAATCAGTAACAACAAGGGACTGGAGGCATAGCTCAGGGGTAGAGCATGCTCCAGGCCAGAGGTTCCATCACCAGATGATGTCCCATCTGAAGACCAGAAAACCTGCAGGCTACAGCAACCATGGAAAAGCCTGGCCCAAGCTGACTTCCTTTCTCTGCTGGCAGGAGGTGGACAAGCCTCTCTCCCTGAAGCATACAGGCACGAAGATCCCAGGACACAGAGCAGCCCCCCCCCCCCCATCCTAACTAGCTCTTCACCTTGTTTCCTCTTGAGACAGCCCCACTTGTCCACAATGGCTTGCCAGCCAGATGGGGAGAGAAAGAGCAGTAACCATAAATCATCTGGCCTTTGGAGCTGTCCCAGTGAACCATCCAGGACCCGGGGCCCCTGCCTACTCCAGCCTCCCTGCTCCCAGATCCCAGAAGAGCTGCCCCCCACCCATTCCCTCTCCCTGGCCTCAGAACAGAGCAGGCTGTGTGTGTAAGGCTGGCACAGCTCCTTCAGGCCTCACAGAGCAAACACAAGCTGGATCCCCAGGCACAGCCAGGCCCGGCACCCCAGCCTCATCTAGCTATGGGGGTGGACCTGGCACCTAGGTCCCTGTTGAAGAGGATTGGCACCTTGTGCCTCCTGACATTAGCAGAGACTCAAGTCTGAGTAAACACACTCTACCACAGCAAGAGCTCAGAGAGCAAGAACAGGTAGTTAAAATCTTTCCAGCCCAGGACCTCCACCTATCCAGCTAGAGAAGGCTTCTAGGACACTGGCAGGGTCTTTTCTCAGCTGCTAGTGCTGAGCTGGGAGTTCTGGGCTTCAGGATAGCACCCTCCCTCCCCACCTGAGCTCCAAAGGCTTAGGCCTTGCTTGTCTCCTACACATAAGCTAGCCCCCACCCTTATACAGGAGCTGGGGACATGGGCCTGGGAGACAGCAAAGCCACCCTGCCCTGCCCAGTCCTGTGTCCTGAGTCACACAGGCTTCGCCCAAGGGCTTCGCCAGCAGCCTCTCCCAGTCAGCCTGTAGACCGAGGATTGAAGACGCAGAGGGGGTAGTTGCTGATCCACAGAGGGGCACGTAGAATCAAGAGACTGGCACAGCCCTTTAGAGGGTTGGGGGAGGGGGTGGCACAGAGAGAGGGGGAGGAGGCAGGGCCAGGGAGGGGCATAACAAAGGGGCATTTTTGGAAACCTGACCTACCGGCTGAGGTGCCTGCTCGCTAATGACGCACTCCTAACCTCGAGCTTCCATACCAAATCTCTGAACCCAGAGGCTGCCGGTCTTTGGCCTCCACCCTTACACACAGCGCCACCCGACAAACCACCTCCCGGTCCCAGAAAGCACGGTGTTGAACAACTCCGAGCTGGTGGAGCCAGCCACACAGACAGGCATAGCCAGGCCTAGACATGGAGGCTCTAGGACTTCTTGGACAAACTTGTTGAACTTGGTCTCGGTGGGGAGGTGGGACCAGCTGGTTACTGCAGAGGGGAAGGGGCGCTGCCCGCCAGGGCTAGCCAGGCGGTGGACTACAGATGGTGGCGTGAAACGGGGGTGGGGGGGGACAAGAATTCGGGCTTTCTACAGAGGCCCCTTCTAGGGCTTCAAGATGGGAGCAAGGAGAGCAGTTTGGGACCCTCTAGGAGCCCCAAAAGATGGTATGCTCTTCCAGCCTGAACGCCCCATTACCCCCTGCTGGTGCGAAGAATCGCCTCATTGGCGTAGGAGATGAGATGGCCTTGTGCTCAGTAGCAGCCAATGGCCGGGGTCTCCTGAGCGGGAGTCCGTCCGATTGCCAACTTCAGGAGCCGGAGGACCAAAGAGCGAGCTAGAGCCACGGCACTGCCGCCGCGTCCCCCAGCGTCCCCTCCAAGGCACTCACCGCGTCCTCTCAGGGCCCCTCGGTGGGTGGGGGGATCCGGCCACGCTCGGTCCAGAGTCTTACCACTCCCCGGTTCGGGCCACCGCCTCCTGGAGCGAGCCGGGCCCTCCCCCGGGAAGCCCGGCCTCCGGGCCCGCCCTCTCCGCGCTGCCGCCGCCCTAACCCCACCAACAGCATCCCCGCAGCGGGGACTGCAGGCATCCCGGCGCCGGGTGGCCCTTGGGGGGCGGGACTTAGGCTCTGCTCCTGGGTGCAGAGCGGGAGCCAGCAGTCTAAGGTGGCGCTGCGAGGCTAGCAGAGACCTAGATTTCAGCTTGGCCGCTCTCGACCTTTGCAGAGTTTGAGAGGCGGGTGGGAGTGAACGGGAACCTGCACCCGCATCACTGGGGTGGGATGCGGGGACAATGCTGCATTATATTCTTTTCTAAGAGCATCTTTCTTAGAAGTTAGCTCTGGGGAGGCTCACAACATTAGGATTCTGAAGTCAGAAAACGTGGCTTAGAGATACCTTCAGCGGTTTGCCCATGGTTTGTAGTCTGGCAGAAGCGAGACAGTAAAGCCAAGCCTACCTAGCACAGCTCTGCTCGCAGCTCTAGCGCGCATTCTTGAGACCTGGGACAGACACGCGGTTGGGGTGGGACAAAAAGCACGAACTCCTATCCCTCCTTCTTCACAGTCCCAGATTCTGTGCCTCTGTTCGTCCTTAAATCCCTTGGTCTCTTCACCTCCTTGTCCAAAGTAGACTTTCTCCAAATCGTCACGATACCACCCCACCCTAAATAGATCCTTCTTCTTCACTCCCCCACCCCCAGCCTCTCGGGATTTCAGAGCCTGTGGGTCTGTTATTTATATCCACTGGAGCGGTCCAAGAATGTTCCGAGGCTGACCTAATCGCCACCTGCTTGGCTTCCCCGCCCCTCCTGCTCTCTCCTGAGCCTGGTGACCCAGCAGCGGTGTCCCGCGCCCAAGAGGCAGGAGGGAACGCGGGCCATAGGGGTCGCAGGCCTCTGGTGCTCAGGGGTCCTGGAGCTACAATTCGCTCTGGGCTGGAGAGCCCAGGAGACCGCCCCTAGGGGACCGCACGCACTCTGGGAAGCAACAGGCCTAGCTGTTCTCTTTCCAACACGTACATTTCCAACCCAGCCCCCCTTCACTCCCTTAGAAGTGTGAGTACGTGCGCGCGGATTTTTAAAAGACAATTTTAAAAATAGCAAAGTCGTGTTGTTTCTAAATGCGGAAGGAATCATTGACGCGTTCCTTGCTCCGTGGAGTCGGCTCACAAAATGGGAAGGGGGGCGGGTTTCTGAGGATGATTGTAACTTAGAAGCAACACCAGCCGCTGGAGGCTGACTTTGGAGCGAGAAAACTGTCTCCCTTAGTTGCCTGTGCTGTTACAAAAACGTGTACCACCTTTGACCTGAGGACTCTGGCCGGGAATGGGAAATCTCGATCTGAAACCTAGGGATGTGGTTTCTGAAACCAATTTTAACACTCACTCACTCTCTCAGGGCTTGGACAAATCTTTTTTCCTTATCTATTTCTGCCTCTGTAAAACCTGACGAGTAACCCAGCTGACCTTCCACTGGGCTGTGTGCCCCAGCTAATTAATTATTGTAAAGCAACTGCAAATGAGAGGGACTTGGGAAACGTCTAATCAGTCATAGTGGTTTGCATTATTTGGAATCAGTTAACATCCCACCTAGCGCCCGTGGGCGTTTAGGCATCGAGACAGAAAGTGTGAAAATACAAGAATGAAACTAATTATAGAAACAGCCTATTAAAACCTCATTAGGAATAAAGTTGTCAGTCAGGCTCCGGGATGCAGGGTAAGTCAAGATATGGAGACTCAGGAAACAGGGCCGTTCATCAGGCCGCAGGGAGAAGTGGATGTGCCGTGGAAAACATCTGGCTTCCCCTGGGTTCAGATCTGGAATCAGAAGGCAGAGATGTTGCAGCTGATCTTAATTGTCCCTAAGGTACTGGGAGGGTTCAAAGGACAGAGCACATCGGACTGTAAGTGAAAGGAAACAGACATGTGCTCACCCTACTCCCAGCTACTACCAGCCCAGGGGCTCAGATTTCTATGGCCAGAGCCCTTAATTACTTTACACACTGCTTCATCCATGTCATCCCCCAGTCTGAACAGTTCAAGATGAGAAGCCCAGGACCAGAGGGCCAAAGACAGAAACCAAATGAGAAGGAGTTTGGCTCAGAGTATCAGGTGGCAAGTTGATCTACAGCCAGCTTTTAGGGCACTCACAGACTCACCTTGAGTTTCTGGAATGTCCTAACCACTGTGCCTTCATTTGTTTGTTTGTTTGTTTATTCAGCCAAGAAAACATTTGGATTTTTGCTATATGCTAAACACTATGCAAGATTCGGGAGTATATAGAGAAATAAGGCTGAGACTTACATTTACCACAATGATGAGATATGGATAGAAAGTCCCAAGAGAAAACAGAGAAGGACAGTTTTCCACAAAGGCATGACCCTTGGTTGGACTTGGTGAGTAGGAATTAGTCATGTAGAGAGGCATTCAAGGTGGGAGCAATAGGGTGTGCCAAGCTCCAGTGTTACTGGTGTATGAGTCTCTGACCTAGAAACTCTACTTCTTGGTATCTATCATAGACAAATATGTACATATAGAGACAGAATGTTGGTATAGCAGGATGTTGGTATATAGTACAATTCGAAATCCAAGAAAATGAGATACAAATGCCCACCAGGAGGGAAACTGCTGAATAACTAAAGCTATGGATTACTCTACAACAATTCCAGAGAAAAGAAAACATACTTTTTGTTTTGTTTTAGTTTTTTCGAGACAAGGTTTCTCTGTGTAGCCTTGGCCGTCCTGAAACTCACTATGTAGACTAGGCTGGGCTCCAACTCACAGAGATCCACCTGCCTCTGCCTCCTGAGTGCTGGGATTAAGTGTGCTGCCACTACTCAGCATACAAAGCTTATTTTTTTAATTAAACATTTTATTCGTTATTCGTTGGTGGAGCACGCCTTTAATCCCAGCACTTGGGAGGCAGAGGCAGGTGGATCTCTGAGAGTTCAAGGCCAGCCTGGTCTACAGAGTTAGTTCCAGGACGGCCTCCAAAGCCACAGAGAAACCCTGTCTCAGAAAAAAAAAACAACAAAAAAAATTTTATTCGCAGTGCTGTAGGTCAGACTCAGAACCTTGCTTGTGCTAAGCAAATGCTCTGCTCCTGAGCTCCACCTCAACCATATGAAGATCTCCAAATACGGTTAAACGGGAAGAAAAGTGTGGGAATGCTACTCAGAGAGGAAATGCACCAGACTGATTTTGGAAGCCATATGTGGGAAAGAAGTCTCAAATTGACATATTAGAGGATTGACAGTGACAGGCAGAGGTGTGGCTCTGTGGTAGGAAGATTTCTCAGAACACAAAGACTTGTGGTTAATTCCCAGCACTGAAAAAAAATTAATGTCCTTACTGTGTAAATTCTGCAATTCTGTTTGTTTTATGAGACAGGGTCTCATAGCTCAGGCTGGCTTTGAAAGCTGGCAAGACGGCTGATGCCGGCCTCCACCTCTCGAATGGTGGGATTACAGCAGTGTGCCAGCAAGCCTAGATAAATTCTATAATTAAAATGAAAACTGGTGAGGGACGGTGAGTAGGGTTTGTGTCTGAAACACTGATGTCCAATAGAATTTTGTGCAATAGTACAAAGGTCCTACTGCTGTGCTGTCCAATTGGTAGCGGACAGCCACATATGGCATCTGGGCCCTTGGATCATGGCTAATGTGTCCAACAACTGAATTTTATTCTTTACTTTAGATAGGAGATAGGTCATCCTGTGCTACCAAAGCTACTCTCAAAATCCTGGGCTCCGACAAGTCTCTTGTTTCAGCTTTCTGAGGAGTTAGGACTAGAGGGGAACATCTCCATGTCAGGCTTGTCCTTTTGTCTTTTCTTTGTGTGGGGGGCATGGAACCCAGGGCTTTACACATACGAAACATACGCTCTACCAGTGAGCTGTATCCAAACCCGGATTTGCCCTTTGGAAACCTAATTCTGGAGGGTGCAGCACAGCACACAGAGGAGCGCAGGCCGTGCTTGGGCTCCTCTGAAGGCTGCCTTGTTTCTCAAGTTTCTCTCAGCCTCTGGACATTTCCTGAGAGGGAGCTGAGTAATGCATCCTGATTTAACAGCTCTGCCTTTAAGATCTCAGGCAACAGCAGGCAGAAAAACTGGTCGGAGTTTCTGTGAGGGTTACCCTCATTAGAGGAGACTGAATCCCAAGAAGAACAGAGAGGAAAC